CCCGAACCGCTTCGGCCGGAGACCGGTTCAGGTGGGAGAGCTCCGGACTCGGCGGGGGCAAGGTTGGCAGGGCGGGCAGAACCGGGCTGCTCTTCCGTTAGACTAGAAATCGACGTTTTCCGGGGAGTTGTCAGGTCTGGAATCAGAGGCCCCCTCTTGGGGATCGCCCTGCGGCTCCCGAAGCCCCCGGACCGAGCTCGGAGGCGCAGGGGTGCGGTTTTCAGGAACGCGGTGAGGATGGCGCAGAGGGTTCCTTTGTGTGTAGTTTGCGGCTTGCTTTTCACCAGATAGAAAATGTAGAAACGTTTGGGATAAATGCGTTTTTAAAATGATTTGCTGGGGTAACTTTCTTCGATTCACAGCCCCCCTGAGTGGATTGGACTTATCTTCCTCGCTGAGGGGGACTTTCGTTGGACATCTACTGCTGTGTATTGTAGTTTAGAAATATATTAAAATTATTCAAAAGTAACTACATATTGTTTTTTTCTTAGCCAAGTAGGAAACTATATGCCTGTTTTAGGAACTTAGAAAATAAAGACAAACATGAAGAAAACCTTTATTGTGATTTCAGTTACTGTTTTTGAGGCCACCTCCTAATCTTGATATTTTACTTATTTGATATACGTTAACTTATTTGTGATAGAGCTTTCAATTGTTGAAAGTGCTATTTCTTTCCTCTGTGCTCCACTTGGGTGTGGGAGACTACTAGATTGGCACGGGGTGGGGGGGTACCTTCATTAACTTCCTACATTTCAAGCTTAAAAAAAAAAAACGAATTCTCCTCAGCAGTTACCCACCCAAGTTTTATTCCCAGTAGTGACCATTACTTCCGATTCTTAAAAAGAAAATTCATATGAAACAAATCCACATTGCAAAAACTCCACATAACTAGACAAAGGAAAAGAACTCTACTTGAAACTTCACGAACTGAATAAAGTGACGCCCTTTCCTGAAAGTATGCAATACAGAATAAATTTTACAGACTTTAAAGTGCAGATATGAAAACACAATCAGAATGTTTTAAAACCTGAGATTATTTGACATTTGAAGAGACATTTTGAGGCTAGAGAGGTTAGGTGGTTATACCAGATAAGCATGAGTCTTTTAAAAATAATGTACTCATTAGTAGTAATTTAATGTCCTTAAAATTTTGCCAGCATCTTGGAGTTTGGCTTTAGAGCCTCAAAGTTTAATAGAAAAAGCATAATTTAATTACATACAAAAAATGAAAAAGAAAATTAGATAGTTTTGACAGTGATTTAGTAGAGAAAAAGAAGAAATGGCTTTTATTTAGATCTCTAACCAAATTAGTATTTAATACAGAAATAGTTTATAGAAAAAAATTAAAATGCTAAGCTCAAACTAACTTCTTACTAAATAGATTTAGATATCCTCTAAATATGCATTTTATTTTTGCTTATGGTTGCTATTATTTAAATTTCAAATATAGGTAACTTTTCTTCAGCTTTTTCATATCATAAAGTAAATGAAAAACATTTAAGAGCAGTTTAATGACCAGGATGGAGAGTCATCATATGCAAAGAACCGTGAACCACAGTATTTTTTCTTTGTATCTGTAGCTATAATGTAGTTCATTTACATTTTCTCCTCCTCCTTTTAAAAACTAAATTAGTTTCACTTTCTTCAAGGTAAGATTCAGCAGACATAGTATAATTTATTATAGCTTGCCAATTCAGGAAACTTAAGCCATTCCTTTAGTTGTTACAGAATGTAACTAAAAATAAATAATTCCTCTTCAGACAGTCACCATCCCTGAGCTAATACAACTAAATAATGGGTACCATAAAAAGAATCTCACTCACCATACAGCACATTGCAAGAATGCAGTGATTTTACTTACCATTTAAATAGTCCTCTATGGTTTTATTTCACAGATGATTTAGGAATTAAGAGTTGAATATTTCCTGTTTAATGAGCTCTCAGATCATATATGTAGGAAATGTTTGTTTCCTATTGTTGCTATAACAAATTATCACAAATTCAATGGATAAAATGACCACACAATTATCCTTCTATATTTCAGAAGTCTAAAATGAATCCACAGAGCTTCATTTCTTTGGAAAATTGTAAGGAAGGATCTGCTTTCTTACCTTTTCTAGCTTCTGGTGACTTATTATTCTGGTGACTATTATAATGATGATGGTGATGATGATGGTGGCTTTTTGCCCCTGTATCTCTCTAATCCCTGCCACCGTGATATAATTTGGCTTTGACTTTGGTCCTCTGGTAAAGACATTTGTGATTACATTGGGCCCAACCCAACGTGAAAACCTAAAATAATTTTCTCAAGATCATTCAGTAATTATATCTTTGAAATCTCTTCAGACCAGCATGGTAACACAGTTACAGCTTTTGAGGACTAGGACATTAACATTTTGTGGGGGGGCATTATGACTTGGATAAGTTTATTAAGTCTATAACAAGAAGAAATTTTAGGGATAACAAGCCTTCTCAATTTGTATTTAAATAAATTGAAGTTTAACATTCTAGTAAGAAAAAGGTAACCAAGTTTTGTGACATCTACTGTTCAAACAAATTTTAATAGTTACCTAATCTGAATTTTACAGCAGCGAACTACACAAAATATTTCAGCGTAACATAATTTCATCTCAAAATGAGGAAAATGTACAGGAAATTAGTTTGTAGTAAAAGCCAGTTTATTCTACACACTTTTCTTTTCGTGCGCCCCTGCTTGTAGCTAATGATCTACAACACATTGACTAATCTAGGAGAATTCAATGTGCAGGAGAAATGGAATGGGTAGGAGAACTGGAAAAAAACGTGGTGATAACTGGATGCAAATAAAGGCTATTCAGACATCCGCTTGCAAGGTTGTCAGCAAGGAATGGTGAGTGGTGGTAAAGCCTCCTAAATAGGGTTTCTTTCCCACCATCCGGTCCTAGCTCTGACTACTCTGCTCCCTCCAGCAGGTCATGATGATGGGCAACAGCCAAGTGGCCGCGCTGCTGCTGCTCCACGGCGCGGACCCCAACTGCGCTGACCCTGTCACCCTCACCCGACCGGTGCACGACGCAGCGCGTGAGGGCTTCTTGGATACCCTCGTGGCACTGCACCGGGCTGGGGCGCGGCTGGACGTGCGCGATGCCTGGGGTCGCTTTCCCTTGGACCTGGCTGAAGAGCAGGGCCACCGGGAGGTCGCCAGGTATCTGCGCGACCTTGTGGGGGATGCGGAAGCGGCAGCTGCGCCGATGTAGCTGCCCCACAAAGTCACCAGGTGAGGACGGATAATTCAAAGATAGGAACCTGGGGAGTTTTGAAGCTCAACTGATCTTTGGATGGGAAAGTTGAGGCTGCGTCTCTAGGGTTCATTTCACCTCACACAGTCAACTCAGAGGACAACCCGAGCTTGCTTCAACAAAGCAGCAGAAATGAGGTGTGACCGAAATGTATGGCGAATGTTTAAATTTAAAAAAAATCGTTACAGTAAAAGATAATGCTATAGACTCCCCTGAGAACACTCGCCCCGCACTTCTGAACACACCTGTCTCATCTTGTTCTAACCACTTTCTGAAGCAATTCTGGAAGTCCTCTTTCACACATATCTTTACAAGATTCAATCAAAAAATACCATCCAACAGAAAACATTACAGTGTGTCCTCATCCACCTTTTGGCTCTCACCGAAGTCAAAATAACCACAAAAGATAAACGTTTTTAGTCAAATCATCAAGGGAAGCCGCCACAACAGCCAACTTAAAGACAGGAAAGAGGACTTCCAGAACTGCTTCAGAAAGCGGCAAGAATGTTGGGATAAGTGTGTTCCAAGAGAGGAAGGGTATTTTGACGATTAATATGTCTTGCACTTGTAGCAAACATTTCTAAAGCTTAAAACTTTACCGTATTAGTTGATCGTACCATGTATAAACCAAGAAGGTCTCGCACACATGAAAATCCACACCATAGATCCTGTCCCCACTGACCACCCACACACTCGACCTCCCCACAGCTCAAGGCCCTGATGATCCTGCCTTGGAGGCTCAGGAGGCATGAGGTCTAATAATCCTTCTTCCTTTCTAAACCTTCTGGTCAGTCGCAGTCCTTCATCCAGCCTCACTTACATAACTACCTTGGTGGACCAACCCCACCATTTCTAACCTCTGTGGTGCCAGGCTTGGTGTGGAAATCTTTATCTCACCTCTTTTGCACAACTGTAGGAAATCTGACCTTCTGCCTTGGGCAATGGAGTTTTCTATTGCTCCTCTGTTGATTTTTTTAGTGTATCTGTGATGGAGATAGAGACCCTATCTTTAGGCTTGTCTTTTAAACTATCTGTTTCTTCAAGAGATCAATGAACAGGGCGTGGTGGTGCATGCCTGTAATCCCAGCACTTGGGAGGCTGAGGCAGGAGGATCGCTGTGAGTTTCAGACAAGCCTGGCCTACATAGTGAGT